CTTCAAACTCCTACAATCACACGCATGATTTACAAAAATGTAAGTGTCATGTAATTAAGACCATAAGATTTAGTTAATTAATTATTAATAATTCAAAAAAATCGTAGGAATTTTAATGGATGCAAGTGCCTTCAGTTGGAGTCTTTGAAACTATCACAGAATAATCGTCAGTCCTACAGACTTAGGTCAACAGCCTTTCTTTTTACGCTGGTGATGCATCAACTCTGAATACCTTCCTATATTAATTAAATTGGAATAGTAAATTAAAATAGAAATAAAAAACCATTCTTAACAAATTAAAAAAATACATAATGATTTGCAATTAGTTCTTAATTTTTTTTTTACCAATTAGTTCTTAATTGTTCAACTCTCATATGCACAACTAATTGTACGAGACTACCTTCACATAATTTGTCTAAACAGAATTTGTCTTTCGTTTATAGCATCTTTCAAGCAAGTAATAATAATAATAATAATAAATCCCCATTACACTAACCAGTCAACCAATTAGAGAAGACAATATAGACGCTTGAAAATAATTTGCATTGAAGACTCTTAAATGAAAAAAATTAGTTTCAAAAATCCACAAAAGCTTAAATAAAAATTTCCCACATTCCCCAATTATATTTCTAGTTAACTATAAAAATTATTACTCCGTATAATACTAACAACATCACATAATCATTAATTTCATCGGAACAGAAAAAAAGAAGAAGATAAAATTGAAGCGAAATTAAGAAACATGCACAATAATATATATACACACTATACAGCATCCACCATTAGAGAGAGAACAGAACGTACGTACCGGCCACATGGAATCAAACAATGAATCTGATCGAGTTTGATACAATTAATTAATGGAGAATGTGTATCATGAGAAGCGTGGATCATTGGCATCCTTCCCAAATTGATCATAAAAGTATATATGTATCCATTGCCTCCATGTCAATGATGCATGCTTCTCACCAGGAGCGGAGTAAGGATTTTAATTCAGAAGGGACGCAGTGTAAAAAAAAAAAATTATAATTTAAATAAAAAGAACAAAAATAAAATAAAATTACATACTATATACATTATTCTAGAGTACAAAAAGAAAATGTTAGGAAGCAGAGGGCAAAAAAAAATTAATAAGAAAAAGAAAAAGGGAAGAAAAATGAGAAATTTGAAGGAAAAAAAAAAATAGAGTTTGAGTAAAGAAGAAAAATTTAACTTTTTTTTAAAGAAAATCAAAGGAATAGAGCAAAATAAAAAAGAAAGAAAAATTTAGAAGACAATTTTAAAATTTTAAAATTTTAGGGAGGGCATTATATAATAAAAAATTTCTTATAAATGTATAAATTAAAACAAAAATTACTATACTAACGTATTTTATAGTGGGTGGGGCTAGGCCAGGCCAGGAGGGGAATGTGCCCCCTCTTGGCACACTGGCTCCACCCCTGCTTCTCATGGCAGCCATTCTTCATGGCAATGGCGTCGCTTCTTCCATCAACACACCATACATCTAGACTTAATTGGGCTTCAAAGAATTTGATTCATTCTAGTTTGGAGCTCTGTCGAAAATGGTACGCTGCTCGCCGGTGCCGAAGTTGCAAGTAACATGGTCCCCAAAGTGGGCTCGTCGTCATCGGAGTTTCAAGCCGATGAATGAGCTTGAAGCAAGGGCGGAGGCACGGCCCCTTCGACCAAAAAAAAAAAGGGTAAAGTACAACCACACCCCTTGAGGTTTGACAAAAGGACATTTAGATGACACTTACCTCTTTTTTGGACAAAGACACCCCCCGAAGGTTCAAAAATGGACAAAATCACCCCTTTACATGAGAAATTGACCAAATTATCCTTTAACCATTTATGAGACTTTTTTAACTTTACCATTTAATAAATTGGACCAATTTACCCTCATGAATAATTTATGCATAAAAAAAAAAGTAACAAAAAAAAAACTTTGTATTGTTTTTTTTTTTTTTTTTTTTACTTTATAAATGTTCCAATTTCTTAAAAATATAGACGTCTAAAATGATTTTTTGATCCAATATATATATTTCAAATAAATTATATTTTGTTATTACTTCTTTTCTTTTTCTTTTTTATTTTTAAAATTAAGATGTTTAATTCTTTCATCTAAAAAAATTAAACCAATCTCTTTTCCTTAAAAATAAAAAATATAGTACCAGTATAACTTCATGCATCTTAAATTATATATCAAATATTATGCATTTTTCAACATTAAAAAAAAAAAAAAACATGCATAAAGTTATACTGGTACCTATTTTCTTTTATATTGGGAAATGCATAATATTTGATATATAATTTAAAATGTATAAAGTAATACTGGTACCATATTTTTTATTTTTAAGGAAAAGAGATTGGTTTAATTTTTTTAGATGAAAGAATTAAGCATTTTAATTTAAAAATAAAAAAGAAAAAGAAAAGAAGTAATAACAAAATATAATTTATTTGAAATATATGTATTGAATCAAAAAATCATTTTAGACGTTTACATTTTTAAGAAGTTAGGACATTAAAAAAAAAAAAAAAAAAAGTGAACAATGTAAAGTTTTTTTTTTATGCATAAATTATTCATGAGGGTAGATTGGTCCAATTTATTAAATTGTAAAGTTAAAAAAGTCTCCTAAACGGTTAAAGGGTAATTTGGTCAATTTTTCATGTAACGGGGTGTTTTTGTCCATTTCGAACCTTCAGGGGGTATTTTTGTCCAAAAAACAGGTAAGTTTCCTCTGAATGTCCTTTTGCCAAATCTTAAGGGGTGTGGCTGTACTTTACCCAAAAAAAAAAATTTAAATGCTTATTACCATATGGCCCAACACAACTAATTATTTATAAGTTAATAGTTAGCCCACCCAAATAAATTTTTTTATTGGGCCTTTAAGCAACTTTAAACCCAATGCTAATATGTAACATGTTTTTAAAGCCCAAGTCCAATAGCAGAATAATAATATAGTGTGTGTGTGTGTGTTCACATGCACTAAACTTCATTTTTATCTTACCGAAAAAGTGACACAATAGTAAAGATTACAAACTTACAAATCTCCAACTGTCTCTCTTTACCTTCATTCGTGTCAATATAAAAGAGATAAATAATATATACGTTTAACTCTTTCTCCTATTCTCCTCTCACTATTTTTCTTAATTAAAAAATCACCAAAGGAGTAAATGTTAACATATCGGTTATATATAAATCGTTTATTGTATTTATTTGTTATTATGTATATATTCAATATAAATAATGTATGTATATCAGTAAATAAGAGTATTGAAAATGAAAAATTAAAAAAAAAATAGGTTTTGATTTTAAGTATTCTAATTGGTTTGCAATCAATAATGTCTTCAGTGAAATGGGTTCATCCTAATTTTGTAGCTTGAATCAATTAAGATTCGATTGGTCTATTTGAGATTTGTTGTAATTTCAAATTAAGCCTTAATTAGTTTATTTATATATATATTTTTAAATTAATGGATTCATGTTGAGTTTATTTAATTTATGGTTTATAATATTTTAAGCCATAATTAGTTTAGATTCACATGGTTCTCTAATTTATTTTTTCATTGTGTTTTCTAAAAAAAAAAAATAGTCTTTTTAAAATTATTTTTGTACATATCTATGTCATATTTGACTTAGATATGGACAAATAGATTTTTGCATACATCTACTAATCAATATAGTTTTGGCTTAAAGTTCGGTCCCCCTCCCTTGGGATCCTGGTCGGGTTTTGTTGTCCATGAGAACAAGACTTTGAGCCTTTGCACCCTCCTCTCTGCTAAGCCCTAACATTCTTGTCCGAAAAAATGGAAAGAAAAAGAATATCCTGCGTATACCAATAATTGTGACATTACGCAGTTGTAGAGCCGAAGGACCGAGTTAGAGCCTTCGCACCGCCCCCTCCCCACTAAGCCCTAACATTCGTGGCATGAATATATATATCTATCTTGTGTAGACCCAATAATTGTGACATTACAAAGTTGTAAAGCCGATGGACTTAGCTATGAGCCTGTGCTGATTTATTATCATGCCAAGAAGCCCAATCTAAACTGATGACCCAAATGATATGCATGGGTACAAAGTGGGACACTCCTCGTAGTTTAGCTGATAAGACCAATTGAGGCCCAGAGTTTATTATATGCTAATTAGAGAAATAATTAGTATTATCTTTTTAGGCTTTGTTTGGGTAAACATGAGTGAAAAGAAAAGAATGTAATTAGTTTGGTTAGATAGAATCACCTAGAAAAAAAAATGAAATAGAAAATTTTGAAACTTTTCAGGAGTTTGATTAGATAGAAAAGAAAAAATTCTGAAAAATTAAAATTCTCGTAACCTTTTATTTTCCTCAAAACATTTCCTGGGGAAATTTTATTTTCACATGAAAGCAACATCTTTTTAGTTTGTGTTCTTATTTTACCTAACAACTTCATTGTTTTATTTTACACAACAACTTTCTCGTTTTTTTTTTTACTAAATTTCAAAGAATTGCAGTCAAACAATAACTTTTTAATTGATAGGGTTTTAATTAACTTGACTTGCATTTTTAGTTACTTTCCATCATAAATGAATGAAATAAATAGTACTATACAAGATCTAAATTAATTGAAAACTCCATCATTTTTTTATATACATACTGCTAATTAATTTATTATTATTTTACCATTTTTATAAAATAAGGACAATAATTAATTTATTATTATTTTACCATTTTTATAAAATAAGGACAATTTAGGTATCTAAACTATAACATGATATTTTCCTACAATTTTCTTGGATAAATTTTCATCTTAACCAAATACATACTAGAAAATCAAATTTCTTTTCATTTATTTACTTTTCTTTTCATTTTCCCTTTCCTTTATTTTCTTACTATTTCCATCTAACGTTAGTGATGAGAGAAAAAGAAAGAAAAGATAGGAATAACATCTATTCATGGTTGGATAATTATGAAGAAAAAGAAAGGAAATGACAACATTCTTGCTTGGAAAAAAGTAAGATAGAAAGGAAAAGAAAAGAATTATTTTAACTAATTTACAATCATACCCTTATCCTCTTTTTTTTCCTCCCCTCTATGACAAACTATTTTAAAGTTATTTTCTGTATTATGAAAGTTTCACTTAAGACGTTATCATTTCTCTCCAAATCTTTCCACTTTTAGTGGATATATAGCAAATGAGAGATTTGTACTGTCAATAGAACAACTTACTGCATACAATTGAAGAACCAGATGCAACCTGAAAGAAAAACAAATTGTCTTCTAAGCGGGAACTAAGGGCATGTTAAAAATCTGGATTGCACTTTTAGCAGCTTCAACATCAATATCAACTAACTTTCCTGTCTTGGATGAAATGATGGTGCATTTCTTCTCTTCTGAATTGGGAACAAACAGTTTCCCCTTCTCTTCAGAAGAAAACAATGCGATGCTGCACGAAAGTAGCACATGAAACAGAAATCAGACCTTATACCTCTTATATTTACTAGACGGTACATTGCATGCTGTTGAAGTTTCTGTTACTCGCAGATTGATAGGTGGTTTTGGCTAGGAGCTAATTAAGCACGCAAATATATTACTAAACTGTGTTTTGATTGGAGTGTTTTTAGCTTTCTTTGACATGGTGACAGATGAAACTTACCTGGGCTTTTCGCGTGCATGTGCAAGCTGAATAGCTGCAGTGTTTGTAGCTATTACCCCGATTGAGTCATTGATAAGAGCAGCAAGCTGAAGCAGATAAACAATATAATGAGTGTAAATGCCGCCTTTTGGATTTGACAATTCATGTTGTAAGATCGATATATATGGGACCATTCTTGTAGAGAAGAACACATATTATGGAATAGGATGCCAACAAATATGTAAATACAGTGATTCAGTGCATTTTTATAAAGATGTAAATATCGGGTTACACCATATAGATACACCATGCACATGTACATCAAAACTCATGACATTACAATTCAGATCATTAATGTAAATCCTCTGTTAGATAAGGTATTCTTAACATTTGACCATATTAAGTTTTTCTTTAGCATTAGCATATAGATATAAATAATTTGAATGGAGAAAGCCGTACCTGTCCTGGGGTAGTAATGAACACAATATTGGCATCATCTCCAACAACATCCTCTACATTTTCCCTTTCTTTCTCGTGTGGAATGACAAAGAGTGGTCGCACTCCCCTGGTGTATGATAAAGTTAGAACCGGGTTACATCTCAATATCCATCTAATTAGTTCCTATCAGTCACCTTTCAGGAGGGGCCATGTCAAAGATCAACCTGATCATTTGACCTGCATGGTTTGTGTCATAAAACATTGATTTTTACTGGTTTCCATAACTACGTTGATTTCTTAATCAGCATTATTCATTTAGATTGGCAGCAATTGTATGCAATTTTTCACAGACAAGCAAGATGAAAGAAACACTTCTCAAAGATTTTAAAAGCTTTTAGATCTTTTATTTGATTTTTTCTTCCCAGCCAAGAAGTAAGTTGGACAACTATGTGCTTCATGGTTGTGATGAATCCGAGCCACAGGCTCGATCCCATTACTCAGTGGAGCTGACAGGATATGGACGTCATTAGGGAATACATAGTTCAGATAATTGACAAAAGAACATTTTACAAGCTTATGCAAGTCTTCATTGGTCAGTTGCATTACTGCAGGATACTTGAGGCATAGATCAAGTTTTAAGCGGACACACAAGTGAACTAATGGGTAATCAAATCAAAAGAACATATGAAATAGATTATTTTCCTAGTTATTTATTAATTATTATTTATGTATTAACAAGATCATTTTTCCTCTGTTTCCAGTTAAAGCCAATATAAACTGTACTTCGTAAACTAATCATATAAAGCCTAATCTATTAACCAGTCAATCAAGAGGCTAAATAACATAAGCATTCCAAAAATTACTCATGCATTTATTAAATGTTCTGTAAGAAGAAACTTTGATAGTTTGATATTATTTCATACCTTATTGCCTTAGCTATTTCAGCCCACAGTTGGATGGGTAGCAAACTATCACTATCCCCCCTGGACTGCATAGAAGCTTTCGAATCTGATTGTATCCCATGAATGACAATATATTTCCCTTTCTCTGCACCAGCTTTCTTATATTTTGCCTCTACAACCTCCTTCACCTTCCTTGAGATTGAAACTTTCAACGGCGGCAAAGGTTGCCTCGGCACATTGCGAGCTGGTCTCCCTAACCAATCAATCATTTGATGGTACCTAAATAATATCAAAAACCCATGAAGAATCACGTTGGGTGAAACTGTCAAACAAACAGAAAAATAACACCAAACTTCCATCTATCTATTTATGTTAAAGCTTATACAGTATCTTAATAGAATGCAAACTGCTTCTTGAAGAATGATCACCTACATAAAAAATTATTTGCATGGAAAAGGGCATGTATAATAATGAGTATTTTTTATCTTTGCACCAGAAGGTTGTCTAGATTTGAACAAATGTGGGATTAAATAATTCCGATCTGTTGTTTCTTCAACTCACATGTTATATCCACCTTCAGAGAGATTCATACTATCTGGTGTAAATGTTTCTGATAGAAGTAATCCGGCTCCTGCAGCATTTACATTTGGGTATATGTAGCTAACTCTGTCTCGGGCTGTAGACATAAACAAGAATGCTGCATGGCCTAGCCCTGCTAGTTTGGTTGATAAGATCATATCATAGTACCTACTCTGCAAGTGAGCACAAGGCAACATGCATTACATACCGTCCCAAATATCCAGGCCCTTTTTAGAAAAATATATATATAAGTAGTTAACAATTGCTCATCGTGATTTTCAATCCATTTGAACTCTATGTTCATCTTTAAATTGTTGTTTTTGTAAGTAAATTAATTAAGAAGAGGAACTTGTCAAATGACTCATAACTTTTTTAACTAGCAGGGAAAAATAAGTAATAAAAGCAATGCCACTGCCCATGAAAATGCCTCGTCTCAAAAATCACAAATGACTAGGTGTGAAGTGTTACTTTTCTGTATCAAGTTAAATTAAAATGACCATAGTCATCTTCTCAATTATTTTTAGAAGGTGCCTTCCTACTTAAAATTTGTAATTTTAGAGAAGAAATGTGCACATGGAAAATAGAGAGCAAAATTTCAGCTGAAATAAATTAAATTTATCGCTCTTTTACCTCTATTGTGTTTTGCACCTAAGATGTTATATGCACAGGTGACAAAACATGCCCCTTATGCGCCAACGGCCTCTAGAGGTGAAGCAAGATAATTTGATTTGTCAACTAAAATATAAAAGCAAATGTGAAAATCAATCATGACATATATTATTAATAACTATTACATGAATTATGGGTCATTATTTAATGCAATGGTAAAACTTGAGGTTGAGCTTACAAGCATGAGAATGCAGGTTCAAGTTTCAAAGCAGTCACTTTACAAAGAAATAATGTTCAAAGGTTAGGTTTGTCTCTGGTCTTTTCCTCCCAGCACCCACAATGAATGACCTTTAGTTCCTTCTTGAATTATGCACGAAACTTTATTTATTTCTAAAAAATCATTATACACCAAGTAATTCAAATTATAATACAATAAGTGTTATATGAGATATACCAAATGTTTCCATGACACATAAAACATCAAGTGTTTCTCCACATCTGATTAATTAATATATAAGAACCAAATTCATGTTCTTCACATATTGTTTGACAGAACAAAATGAAAAATGAAATACCCACCAACCTTAAGAATTCCAACCATGTCAGTATACTCCATCGGCTCGGGAAAGTCTTCATCTGGATCATAAGCATCAGCCCACCTCACATTTTTATTCAACTCATAAGTCTGCTTCCCTCTTGGTGATGCCAACACATCCACTTGAACACCAGGGTACCTATCTTTAATCAACTGAATTGCTGGAAAAAACAGCAAGTTCTCATAGACACCGCCGGAAACCACACAACAACACCGTCTAACATCACCTCTGATCTTCAATCCCAATGAAGCAACCTCTACATTGAATCCCATTGGGAATTTCAAGAACCCATATGGGTTATTTGGATTATCTGGCGGCCTCGGATCTTCTTCTTGCTTACCATCAGCATACATTGAACCATACTCCATTTCGGGGTCATCACCGTCGTCAAAAGGGTCAAGCCAGGGGTTTTTCTTTTTTGCATTTGCTCGAGTACTGTTTGATAATTTGCCGCAAAGAGGATGCTGCTGATTTGATGGGTGGTAGTTCAAGAAAGAGACATTGGTGAAGTGGGTTAAAGGGATTGAAGGTGGGTTTGTGAGAAAAAGTGAGATGGATTTGGGTAGGAGAGAAGTCGTAGACATTTTTTCAAGAATATGGTGTATGTATATCTATCAATCTAGTCCCATGTTGTTGGTGAAGTTTTTTCGAAATGTCATATGGTTGTGAAGTTGGAGGACAGACGTTGGGTTTTGAATGTGTGGAAGATGGTTGGATAAGCGGGTCCCGCACTCAATTATCAAGTAGTTTCAGGGAGGGTTATTTTTAGGGTAATTTTGGAAGGAACAAAAATATTAACTTTCGCAAAGAAAACCTCTTCCAAATATATACAAAAATAAATAAATAAATAAATAAAAACTTCCATCTCATTGAGCGAGCCACAGTAACTGTTATCAACTTAGCATTATTCAGTTATATGAAGCAAGCAAAGTATATTGGAGTATTATCAAAAGCCTCATCTCTCTCTCTCTCTCTCTCTATATATATATATATATATGAAGCTTTTGATAAATTTTTCATATACTTTGATTAAATCATGTAAATGAATAATGACAAGTTACTAACACTCCATATCTGAATAATGACAAGTTACTAACGCTCCATATCTCTCTCTATATATATAAAAATATATGAAAAATTTAATCAAAGTATATGAAAAATTTATCAAAAGCTTCATATATATATATATATAGAGAGAGAGAGAGAGAGAGAGAGAGAGTTAACAACATAGCATTATTGAGTTACATGAAGCCATCAAAAGTATCTGAGAGTTTAATTTACCAAAAGTTAAAATAAACTATCATAATAAATAAAAAAAATGTTGTTGAAAGTTAAATTCTTGTAAGAAATAAATGGAAAATAAAAATTATAGATGAAAAGATAATATTTATTTATTTACCGAAAAAAAAGATAATATTTATTTATATAATAATTATTAATTATGACGGATTCGGAACTTTGTGGGTTTTAAACTCTTTTTACTAACTCGATTAGGATGATTCCAAACCCATCCCAATAGGAGTAGAATGGGGCATAATCACAACGGAACAGATTAAATTGCTGAATTAGATGTGTTTAGCTCTAACCAATTGATAGAATATCTCCCTCCCTAAATTGCTATATATAAAGAGAGATGGAGGGTTAAAATTATTTAATTAGTTGAAGCAAGCAAAGTATATTGGAATTTTATCAAAAGCCTGGTATCCAAAGTGATATATGGAGTACTGTTTAACAATGATGCCCCTGAGACTCTCAAAATTTTAAGAGGCTCTAGGCGAACTTTCATATGCAAGGCCTTTATATTATGGTTTCACCCACACAAGAATTTTATAAGAGTACAAATTTTCATTAAAATTTAAAATGAGACGATAAGCACTGAGGTGAATCGAAATATTTGGGACATTAGGCGAAAAATAAAAAGTGGCATTTTAATAATATATTAATATTAAATAATATTTATTAAAAATCATCCTTCTTACTTTGTGAAATGCAAAATTATTGATTCGATTCTTATATTTAAGTTTGGTTAAAATATATCTATATATATATATATATATATATAGATATACACACACGAATTTAAAATAACAAAAGTTAAAAAAAATAATAATAAAAAAAATGAATAATTGAAACTGATTTAGAAAACCCCCAATCCAATGCTCATACAAAATTTTCAATACAATAAAAATGGATTCAAATTGAGAGTAATGAGTGTCGAGTAGAAAAGAAAGAGAACATAAACTTGTAATGAGAGAGGAAAGAGACGACTTGTTGAGATAGCAGAGAAAGTATGTGAGGAATAAATAAATAAATAAATAAAAAGAAGATAAAAGCTAGAAAAAAGAACATTGAAAAATTTCACTGCTTTCCCAAACAACAGTTAAATACATATTTAATATTCACTGTAGGTATAAATCTTTTGATGAAGTTGTAAAAAAAGAGTCATTTAATGATATAAATCTTTGGGGCTCAATATTTACGTATCAGTTAGAGTTTAATTTAAAATGTGGATGAGAGGAGAAGAGAGAAAATAGAAAAGTTATTTTAGTATAAAAAATTTTTGATGCCCAGAATTAAATTTCTATATTGATTAATTTTTAAATAATATTAGGACATAATTATAATATAACTTATATAAAAAAATTTAAATTTGTGAGACCCTATTAAATTGGAGGACCTAAGCGACCACCAAAGTCGCCTATGCCTAGGGCCGGCAGGCAGTCGGACAACACTACATTTGCTTAAATTCATGAATTGACTTGTAATAAAATGTGATACTTTATTTCATGTGTGTGTGTATTTATATATGGATCTATTTTTTGACTTTAATAATTATTTTGTCATTTTACAACTAATGTTGTTAATATTTCATTTTAAGTTAGTGGTACGTAAACAATATATATTAATAACCTACATAAACCACCTTTACTGATGTCATATTCTAAATAAATTAAAATTTCTATATTACCCTTTGTCAATCTCATCTATTATATGTACTACCGTCAGTCATTTATCATAATAACTTTAAGGCATTTCAATAAATTAGACAAAATTGTCAGTGTATTTAATCATCCGTCACTAGGAAGGGAGGTCCGTGTAGATAAGTTTCATTTTGAGGGAAGGTCAAAGTAATTTACCAAATCACAAAAAAGTCCATATAATTATGACAAATCATACGAGATGTTATAATTTACCCTTCTTATACTATTATAATTACCTTCCATATATTTTACAAAATCTTTTGTAACACCAAAATATAATTATGGTACAAGATATAAAGGATTAAAGAGCTGTATCACCATTTTGATAATTAAGTACTAAAATACACACAAGTAAAGAATGTAGAGTTTAAAAGAAAGAGTTGTGTGATTAATTAGTGGTTTCTAATTAAATTGACTGGAGTATCAGTTTATTACTCCTTTCATAGCTGACATCTTAACCTCAACTTTAAAGTCAAGCTTTTGACTAATACATGTGACGAAATCTAATCTGTCTCTAAATTTAAGAATTATTTTGTTAAAAATATAATTCATGAAAATAATAATAATACAAAGATAGCTAAATGGTTTTTAATTGGGTAACTACAATGACTTCTTCTAGAGTTTGACTTAATTGTAAATAAATTTAAGATTTGAAATTTTTTTGCTATGTACCGATAAAAAATTAGCACTTTTTGTTAGAAAATTGGGTTAAAGTGACCAAAATACCCTTCAACAAAGTAGAAAAGACTCTATTACTCTTATTGTGTTATAGAGCTCCAAGAAAACTTTGTTTCAAAAGGACAAAATTATCTTTCTTTTTTTTTTTTTTCCATTCACCCACCAATCAGGTAAATGGAATTGCAGAGACTTATTCTAACTATTTTATGCTTACCCCAAAAAATTATAAAAAAAATATCAGAGGAAATCAAAGAGATTCCTTCCAAAAAAAAAAAACATAGAAATCAACCAAAAAAAAAAAAAATAATAATAATCAAAGAGACCCGATAAAGATTGAAACCTATTACCAAAAGAGACTAGAGATCATAGAGACCCAAAACAAATATTGAAACACATCAACAAAGAGACCCATTATATTTATATATATTTGGAATGCTGGCGTGTATATATTCTTATCTTAATTATAACACTTGTGTGGTTGTAGTTATAGGGGTAAAATAGTCATTTGACATATAAAAATATTTTAATTATTTTTAATACTATAATAAAAAGAGTAGATAGGTAAATTCACGGTATATTCTGGAGTCTTTGTGAAAAAAAAAAATTTCTTACATTTATTTTCGGTAGGCTTTTTACATATTACCATTGAAAAAATGGAGAATGATTGAAACCTGAAATCCTTCCGTCCGACCGGGTCGGACAGTACGCTGTCATCGCAAACCTTTCCGTTTTAAGAAAGCGGAGCGGAGCAGGTTTCAAATGCTGAGGTGGCTCTCTCTTATTGGACACCCTATTTTCCCCTCTCTTAAACACACACACTCTCTCCCAAAAATCTCTCTCTAGAAAAATACTATACTACTTTCCTGGCCGTCGTTGCTTTCTTGATCGAATGTCCAAGTCTCCAATAGTTGCGTTTTCAGATCACCATTTCGAGCTTTTCAGCTTCACCATCGCCAATGCAGAATCAACCCTATCTCCTTCTAGGGTTTCCGAAGCCGGATTTCAGCACTTTGGCCTCTGATTCACTGAAGGCTTCACACACATTCTTTTGATTCTTCAGCCTCACCATTTTCTAGGGTTTACGTAATGCACTACCACTTCTAGATGTGCATTTTCAATATCGCTGTATATTCAGTACATTTGCCCTAGATAGTGAATGTTACACACACTTTAGCCCTAGTTTTGTTGAAATTGGGGTGAATACCAAGCTCTACTCAATGTCGGGACCACCACGAGTCAAATCGGTGAACTGTACAGATTCGGAATCGAGGCCGGTCCTTGGACCAGCAGGAAACAAGGCGAGATCGTTGGATATGCTCAAGCCGGTCTCGAAACCTCAGAGGAAAGTAGATAAACCGCAAGAAATTGATGAAGCCAAGGCAAAGAAAGCTCCATCATTGTTACCGTCTCCCAAATTGTCTCCGTCACAGTCACCGTCACCGCCGCATTGTGTCACTGTGCCGTCGATTTTGAAACACCAGAACAACAGGGTGTTGAAGTCGAATTTGTCGCTCAATGCGTCGTGTTCGTCCGATGCGTCAACCGATTCGTCAAATAGTCGGGCTTCGACCGGGAGGATAAGCCGACGCACTGGAACACCCGTCCGGAGAAAGCATTGTGCTTCAAGGACTGAAAAAATTGTTGTTGATACTGACAGTATATCGGCTGCTTCAACTGACCCTTCACTGGTCAAGAAAAGGTGTGCTTGGGTGACTCCCAACACTGGTATGATTTTGTTTCTTTGACTTTATGATTTTATACATACTCTGTTTTTAAGTCTATGTGCTTGTGTAAGATCTGCGCGTATTTGTGCATATTGTGTTATTTGATGACCATGAAAAGATTGATGACTAAAGAGAGGTTGTACTGTATTTATACGGACAGCAATTTAGGGTTAGTTACTGTGACCTTTCAAATTATGTTTCAATGGGAATGGTAATAGTTGAAAATATACTATTACTAACTTCTAAATGCAGTCACCAATTGTGCTATACTGACAAGGATTATCAGTAATTTGTATCAGAGCAGATGTTATGCTCATAACACCTTCCATTAGACTAGAGTTTTTGGTTTTATTCGCATCTTGGAGTTATGTAGGTACCAATGAGGCACTTCTGTCGGAGTTATAGATCTTCCAAATGAAGCAAAAACCATAGTGGTTGCTTTTATGCTTAATGCAAATTAGGCGTGCAACACCCGACAAAGCTCTATCTCGGTTATGTGCATATAGTATCATAGATTCTTTCCACCATTTGACCATTCCTAATATGAGGAATTGAACACTTGGCCTTGATTATCTCTCTCTCTCTCTCTCATGATCTTTTAGTACCTTGAAGTAATGTTGTCTTTTCTCTTTTTTCTTAGTTGGTATTCACACACCCTTGTCTTTTCTCTTTTTTGTGCATGATCAAATCTATCTTAGCCTACTTTCTAGGATTTTTCCTTAAGGTCAAATTTATTATGAGTACATTCATTACTATATTTTTCTGTAATCCCTTCTTATACTGCCATTTTTTCCTTGGAACATTATGCATCTCTATAGAATAATCAATTTTTTTGAAGCAAGACAGTTTGGAATCTTATGCATAGTGTCCGTCAAATCAAAGAAAAGATGCTCAAAATGAATGGATTTTGGATAGTCTATCATGGAGAACCCTTTATGTTAAAAATAAAAGAGAATCTTGGAATGCAGGCTTCTTAAGCTAATTAGATTACAAAATAATAATTTGATTTAAAATAAGCTTAATGCACCCTAAATCAGTGCCTCTTACTTGACTTTCTAGCAATTTTGTAATTGCATGATTACTATGGAAAAGGAGAATTCATGTAGCAAGGATGATGCTGAGATGACACCAATAATTTAATTTCATTGACTATTTTCTTAATTTATTTACACACTCTTGTACCTTTGTCCTTGGCATGAAAACCTCAAAGTGACTAAGCAGTATTAGTTAGCCCTATCGTTTGACCTAATTAATAAAATACCCCTTAGAAGGCATTGATCAAGTTAACCTAGGTCTGATGGTTCAAGATTTGCATATTATTTATTCTTTCTTGGATGAAATACATGGGATAACCATGAACAAAACCTATAATAGATTGGTATATGGCTCAATTATTGCCTCTAGAGAGATCATATTCCCAAGAACATGTCATAACAATGGTCCCACATGATCAATTCTCATAATTTCATCAATTATGTGGAGGTGATACCCCATAGATGGGGTATGAGTCCCTCAGAAAGCACAAAAGACCTCATAAAAATTGCTGGCAATAAGATAAGGATCACAAAATGTTGGAAACAACCATCCCTGGTGGATCGTATATAAAACCCACGTGTGTGGGACTATCTAAATGATGCAATCTACCAAAGAATACTACCTTTTTTATTTGGTAGTATTTTCTTCACTTGGTGACATAGACACTTTTATATGGGTACCATGGCTTTATGATTATGCCTTACATGTAGTGATTTCGGGTTCTTGAACATTACTCTACACTTTTTTTTTTTTTTCTTAGTTGGTACTCACACACACATGCCTCTACTGAGGTTCGAAACCCTGACCTCATTTTGGGAAGTAGGGGTTTGGTACCGCTAGGCCACTGGCCTATTGGTAACCTATGGACAATCTTGTTTGGCAACAAGCCATTTTCATCATTTGTTCATTTAATAACATGTATTTACTGAATTGAGATATCTTTCTTTCTTCTTCTTTTTTTTTTTTTAATTTTATTTTTGGGTAATATCTTTGAGATATCAAGTGTGTCAGAACATGAAGATTTTTTTAATAGCAAATGTGTAGTAAAAAGTTTGGACAACTTTTGACACTTCAAGAAGCCTTTAATATTGTGACAAAGAAAGGGGAGAGGGATAGGGTTTGTTAGGATCATGGCGCTACATATATATACATTAATACATTCATGGTCACTAACATACACAAGTGCATGTATAATGTATTCACATATTTGTATATATATATATATTGCAGTTCTTTTTCCTGCTTGTGTTGGATTTCTTGTAAAAATTTAATACTTTGGAATGTCAGTCAAATCTATGTTTATAGTTCATTTCTGTGCAAGATTGGTAATAGCAGAAGGTAAAGTCATCCATGTAAAAGCCGAAAGGATGACTTTTGAAGCCACTTAAGGAGAAGGCGACCACTCTTCTAGTAGACACTAGACAATATGTGTACATAGGAGTGGTTATGACTATGAAAGCCTGTAGATAACATTTATAATATGTGTTTATTTCATTTATAACTTCTATATGTTCTTTATGAATAAAAAAAAGGGTTATGATTTACAACAGTGAACCGGAAGGAGGATATTATCTATTGGGATGTCACACATCAATGAAAGTGTCATATACGAGACAATTCCTTTTTCTAATAATTTCTCCATTTTATTTCTTTTATTGGATTCTTGCCTTTGAATGGAATGGAGGATCTATCCAGCATATTTCTTGTTTGCTCACTTTCTTTTTTGCCAAGTAAGATAATTATTATTAATGCCGAAAGCCAAGCAGCTAACACCATCTACAAAGACTACACACTGCAACAAAAAAAAGGTTCAATACACGCTTACAGCGACAAAAACTGGAAAAAAACAGAAGCTAAACAACAGAAACAGGCCAATCTGTGTTGCTTGGACATGAGAGGACCTGGGTTTGACACTGTAGGGGCATCTCAGCAGGAAACTTTGGAGACGCATGGTGTGGTCTGGACAAGAATTCACTAATAGTAAGCTATATGATTCTGCGTATAATTGTTGCCATTCTTGTCCTTTTAAGACTTTCCCTTTTCCAACTGAAACTGTCTATTCTATTTTTTTTTCCCCTTCCCTCGGATCCTCTTTTTGATATTTTTGAGAAAACTTTATTTATAATTCTTATGATTTACTCTTTCTAAAACCACATTCTTCCAACATATTCATCCTGTTCCGCCAATGTTATGACAACAATCAAATTTTAGGATCCTTTCAGCATCCTGGAGACACATCGGGTGTGTTTTTCATGAGTAATCAAGTTGTCTTAGTCGGATTTATTTCAAGAGTGTTCCTTTGCTAGGAATTAAGCATGCTTGACAAGGAGATTCATGCCTCTTGAAAAATGGTTCTTATCGCGCAATATTCTAAGTGATCTGGGATTGAAAGAAGCAAAACACGGCCATCTGGTCAGTGTTAATGTTCAAGGAAATTCTCTATAAGCCTTTTTCCAAAAAGATAGAAAAGGAAAAAAGATTTAGCAGCTGCGAAATTGTCACGATGACACCGCAACTCTATTGGAGTTCATATAACTAGTTCAAGGAGCCTGGCTCACTTAGAGAGATGGTTCGCATATCATATGGTTATTAAAATGGTGAAATAAAATGAGTGTGTTTTGAGAAAACGTGTCACTTATTAAAATTGAGAGTTTAGTGGGACCTATACATGCATGTAGGCTAGTATTTCCAATTTGTGTTGTATTCATGCATTCTACCGTCTTTGTGTTCCTCCGTTGTATGTATTTCTCCTCCTTCAGTGCCCTATTGTGTAATACCAACTGTTTGAGGAGGTCTCCTATATTCACTTTATAAGAAACTCAAGGAAAAGAAAATTAAAGGAGGGAAATCTTAGAACTTGGTTCAGTTTCAGTCCACGGTCGAGTTTTAGTTTTATTAGTGTATTATTTATATGTATTTATAGGTTACTATGCTTCTGGTTAGTTGACTCAGTTATAGAAGTTTTTTTTTTTTTTATTTTTGAGTTGAGAGTATTTCTTTATCCTAACATTTGCTAGACATATGCTGTAGCTGATGGGTCATTTTTGGGGTTGTTTACACTTTACAGTTGGAATTTTGTGGCTAGAGAACAGTGGGGATATTAGACTTTAGGGGTTGTACAGGGTGAAAGATAAAAGTTTGAGGCTTAAGTAAGGGGAGAATGAAAAATGTTGGTTCAATTTCAAGACGAGACTCACTTGAGACCTTGTATATTAGAGTTTTGTATTGTTGTACTATTTTATGTTTATTTTAAGATGCTGCAGGTCAGGAGGGTATTTTAATAATTCTAAGAATTTCTGGAATGTTTTATGATTGTGGCCTATGGGTTCTCCTTGTGGGTCAAGATCTACTATTGGATCTTATTTATGGTGTTTAGTAGGTTGATATGGTTTTTGTTTGTCAAATCTTAGCTTCTAAACACTTGAAATGATATGTTAACAATGCATTTGATTGTAGTCCATGTAAAGTGGGTAAAGGAATATAGAGAAGAATGTGTGCGTGAAAGAAGAAAGTGGATAACTGTAGAAAAAATGATTGATGGTATGGTGTATATTAAAAACGTTTTGACTCCATTATTTACTTTATGTGGAAATAGGATAGGTGTCATGGATAGCTCATAGAGTCAACTAAAGATTTTTTTGATACTGCCTCTTCAAAGTTGGAGGCTTGCCTGGCATTCTACATAATTATAGCCAAGTGCCAGTCCTATTAGAATAAGAAACTCCTAAAGGTCTATATATAGCTATGTAATGGTTTCAATTTAGTAATCACCAAGTTTAGAGAAAAAAAATCAATAAGTTTAGAGAAAGTTTAAACTCTTTGAGGTTCTTTTGGGGATTGTATAATGTAATTCTAATCCTAGATGTGATGCTTAATGGGTTCAAGAAGTGATTCCTAAATTCTTATTATTCTTCATATTTCTTTGTTTTATGCACTTTCATACCTGTAAACAGGCTTGTATATGTCGCTCTTTTCAAATCTTGGAAGCCCTACTTTGATAAGAGCAGTAATTTCCAATGTAAAAATTAAACCCTGGTAACCCCAAAAGCACATTGGACCTAAGTCATTATTCTCAGACTACTCTTCACAGCATTGTAACAACCAAGAACAGCCTTCAAAACCTTTTTTCTTTTTCTATTCCAGAACTCCATACAAACAATCCCTGACCAACCCTAAACCAATTTGCATCAACTATAAGTTTAATAAACCTTATTTGTAGATTTAATCTAAAGATCTTACCTCAGTTTTGTGTCAGTGTTGGAAAACTGTTTCTTTGCACTTGTCCAAGAGCACTCCTCTTCTACTTATATTATCCTGTTCTGCAATAAATGATTAACTTTGGGTGTGGGATTAACTTTTGTTGCCAGAAGAAATCACCTAGCTCTTTAATACGCAATGCTTGGTAGCATTGGATTTTTGGAATTTCATGAAACGTTTATCACATATTTTCATACATCAGTCCAAGATTTTTCATGTAAACACTGATTTTATCATGCTTATAATTGGTTCTGTTTTTCATTTATTGTGAGGATCCTTCCCCACTGTATATAGTGTTGCAGTTTTCCTGCAGGCATATCTCTCTTATAAAATTTTGTAAATTGATTTATTTTTCTAAAAAATGTTCTAATTGGTTTTCATTTGTCAAAGATCCATGTTATGCTGAATTTCATGACAAAGAATGGGGAGTTCCAGTCCATGATGACAAGTATGTAATCTCAAAACCTTGTTAAAATATATCTTCATTGATTCCCAATTTCAATACATATATTGATTTTGGTCCCTTTTTTGTGTGCCTCTGATTGTCCTTGATAACCTGCAGGAAACTGTTCGAATTGCTCATCTTTTCCACTGCTTTGGCTGAACTTGCATGGCCTGCCATTCTCAACAAAAGGCATATGTTTAGGTATGATCATATGCAAGTGCTTCCCCATAATCTTTTGGCAATTGCAATATGAATGCAATGCCTTGAATGGATTTTTACCGTACTGATCTGCCATAATATGTTATTTGTCTGCAGGGAAGTCTTTCTGGATTTTGATCCAATTGCCGTCTCAAAATTAAATGAGAAGAAGATAGTGATACCAGGAAGCTTCGCCAGCTCTCTTCTATCAGAACTGAAGCTGCGAGCCATCATTGAAAATGCACGTCAAATTTGCAAGGTAGGCTCTAATTTCATGCTTATTCATCTATTGAATTACTAAGATTTGTGAAACATAAAACTCATTTGGCAAGGATAACTCTATAATAGAACATTGATGTTAGTAGTATTGTTATGATTTCCAACCTGCTTTAAATGCAAATAATTCCAGGATCACATGTTGGTTCTAATTTTTCATGCTGAAAGTTAACTGATTGGATTGGTGTATGCATATGACTGAAACATATCCGCTTAAAACCTGCAATATATGATATATCACACGAGTGAATGGAGATTCTACAGTCTACTTTCCTGTCTAGTTGAAACTGAGTAGTTGATCAATTTACAGCTTGGCAATTATTCAGATCATGTAGGCAGAAACGAACATAACAGTGGACAAGTTGGAATTACAAGCAAGGGTTTAATTAATTATGATTTTTTTTTTTGGAGAGGTGATTATGAATTGTTCATGCCCTAACTCTTTCTGTTCCTTACCAATGACGCAGATAAAAGATGAGTTTGGATCTTTCGACAAGTATATTTGGGGCTTTGTAAACCACAAGCCTACAGTTGGTCAATTCCGGTATCCTCGTCAGGTTCCCATTAAGACATCCAAAGCAGATGCAATAAGCAAAGACCTTGTTAGAAGAGGATTCCGAGGCGTGGGGCCTACAGTCGTTTACTCATTCATGCAAGTGGCCGGAATAACAAATGACCATCTCATCAGTTGCTTCAGGTTCCCGGAGTGTGTAGCTGCAGCAGATGCAAGGGATAAAGATGACCGACTCAAAGATAAGGTTGAAGACAAACAACCCGAGAATGCAACTGACTTGGGGCTAGCAACAGCCATTGATGAGTTGAGCTTACCGGCAGAGTAATATTGTTAAATGGGTTGTAATTTACACCATGAAAGTGTGATTAGCCATTTCTAGTTCACGAAATTTTGTTGGCTGGTTAAGGAAAGGGATGATGGGGTGAGAGGGAGGTGTTATTTATGTACAAATGATCTTATGTATTATCCTGTTTCTTGCTTTGTAGATCAAAAATAGAATTTGGCATCCAGAAAGATTTGAGTTGCTTGAAAGTCTCTGTCATTTTGACCTTTTTGTACAGTGAGAGGGGTGAGCTAACCGAAGATTTGATGCTTGTACTCTTTAAATTTTCAATCATCCTATTTCAAGCCTCCATCGTTGACCTTCCTTACCATCGTGGATGGTTTGTCTAGCAATGGAATGGGCCCAACAGAGAGAAAAGTAAGGATAATGAGCGTTCCGGTTCCGCCTGCCAAGCAGGCGTCCGGAGCAGCGGGTAAGTGTCGATTGAAATTATCCTTGTGGTAGACTTTGACACTCTAAAATTTCAATCCTTCATTATCAAACCTCCACCATTGACCTTCCTTACCATTGGAACTCTGTGGACCGTTTTTCGTCAACCTTAGTGTGTATAAGTAACAAGTTTAGAGTACAGATCCTCTGCAGTACATCATGGGTGCTTTATTGTATCGGAAGTCTTCCATCACTTGCACGTGGAAGTGATGGGATCCTTCTGATGGGTACAGTACCGGTGGTGTACCGCAGAGGATCACAACTTACAAGTTTAATGCTTAGCCTAAACCTGATTTGCTTCCTTATAGGAAGATACAGAGCTAATGTCCTTAAGTTCCCAAAGGAAGAAAAACACAGATATATGCCTCCTTGATCGGGTTGAAAAGATGTATTATAGGAGTAAATAATTTGTGCGAACAGATTCTATATGATTTATCATATGTATGAACAATTGAAACACAAAGTGTGAAAAATTGGAGTGTGTCGTCCAAGGCCTCAAGGCACTCATGTTGGTCTTAAAATTTCAACCAAGCATGCCGCCTTGAACTTTTGTTGGCTCTGGATGAAGCACGCCAAGTTGCAGCCTCGTGTATACAAAATTGTACCCTAAATGGAGAAAGTTCAAACTACATGTTTCGATAGTTTGTTTCTGCTCCAATTTGGTGTTCACATCAACTTGTACACTCCAAATCTTCCAAAATATAAGTTCAAATACAGAGAACTAAGTCCCTGGGTTGGCTTGGCTGTCTATCATTTTCCCATCTGATTATTTTGGAGAATTCCTCCGGAAATGGCTGCACAAAGTGCTGCTTTGAAACTCGGATCTTTTGTCAAGGAAGAAGCCATTTCTTCCACCAAGAACTGTTGCAAATCTGGTGAATTGATTCTTCGGCTAGAGTTTTTGGGTTCAGATTTTGTTAGATCAAGAGTAATGGTATGTGGAGGTGAACCAAGCAATACTGAGCCGGGAACTGAGCCGAGTGTTGTGGAGTGGTTAGAAGCAGATGTGCCAAGTCTTGAAGGGTGTGAATGGTTGTGCTCTCCTTCATATGTTGCAACCAAAACAGATTGATCTTCGACACTTCTTTGCACCTGAAGAGGGAAATTGGACAAACAACTTAGAATGCTACCCAATGTTTCCTTGTGCAACATGAGACTACGAGAGAAATGACTTTGGACATTCCATGCAAAAAAGCCCATCTTTTTTATTCAATGGTATATTGAAGGCAATATCCTCATGAGTTGAGTTAATAGGTTAAATGATTAAAAAAAAAAAAAAAAAGAGGCGAATTCTTGGAAATCGAGAAGGTCATGAAAGAGTCAAGTGACGTCTTCTCTACCTTTAAATGTAAAATGTCAAAAGTAAAATATTGAGAGAGGAAGTCGTGTGTATATATACACACACACCATGTGAAAGACACGTACTAATTTAATTTTCATGTGACATCCAGAAGTTGTGGAATTGTGTGTGAAGGTTTTGGTAACTAGCTCACCTTCTTTTTGACAGGGCAGCTTGGAGCAAAAGAGCATTTGAAGTAAGCTCTAGGAGAAGGGTTGTCTCTGGTGACTTTCTGGCCATACTTCCTCCATTGATATCCATCCTTTACTACCTGCAACAGATAAATTGATCATCAAGCATGAGTTCATTTCATAATATCATTTCAAACTCTTTATGGGATATATATATATATATATATATATATAGCATGAAATTATGTGCATTTGGGTGGACTTACAAGGCTTGTATCGGATGCTGGAGTTCGTACATAGACCCTTGAAGTACTCTTTGTCTTGATGTGTTCTTCCCTTGGTTTCTTACATGAATCCTCATCGGTTGAACTAGTCTCCGAATTCCCATTAAAACCACCGGTGGTGCAATTATCGTTGTCGTTGTTGTTGCTGCTTTCAGTACTCTTCCTCTTCCTCGACTCAGTAATCTCCGTTTTGGGACTATTATTATTCTTGCTCATATAATCCTTGAATTGCCTTCTCAAAACATTGTACTTCTCACACATTACTATTGACATCTCAATCAGCTTCTTGTTTTCTTCATTCACCCTCTTCAATTCCTCCACTAAAGCACCTACCTGAACACCAAAAAAACACACACACATTCAGAACTCCATATATGGTTTATTTTTGAAACTGCCTAAAAGATAAGCCCAAGACTTATTTGCTATTAGATATGTTTAAGGTGCGACCAATGATTCTCACTTAAACATATCTAAGCGGATATATATATATATATATATATATATAATTATGTATGAACAAATATGGACTAACCTTAAGTTGCTCTTCTTGTACTGACATGTTCCTTCCCAACTCATCGATGAAATTGGTTTGAACCTCTTTATTTTGACAAGCATGAGTAGTAGTAGTACTAAGAGAGAATTCTAAGTTTGGCAAGTCAAGAACATGACTTTTGGGAATGACAAGAAGTGAATTTTCACATGGTTGAGCTTTTTTGAGAAGTAGCTGAGGAATGGTGTTAAGATCCAGTGAAGTATCCAACAAACCAGTAGTAGTACTATATTCCATGGAATTGGAAATCCAAACAAACCTTCCCAAATACCTTTTCAGCAAAATTGCAACCAGACTTGCAATACAAATGTGTGTGAGAGAGGAGAGGAGAGGAGAGGAGAGGAGAGGATTGAGAATTAAGTGGTTGTGGGGAGGGGTTTGGTTGTATATATGGTGGAATTGGAAAGAAGATAAATGGTGGCAAAAGCGTTGAAACTGTAAAGTGTGTGTGACAAATGTCGGTGTTGAAATTCTTTTAATGGTCAAAGTCAAGCCCACCTTTTGATATGAAGAATATGAATATATTAGAAAGAAGTGTGCGTATGAACATATGGAAATTGAAGTCTTGTATTGACCCGATACAATCTTCTCATTATTTTATATTCACTTATTGGCCGACTTTATTTTAGTGTTGTTGGCTATTTTTCACGTTTTTTTTTATTTTTTTGAATATTATTTTATAAAAAAAGTTTTATTTATGTGTATTATTTTAAATGTCGTACTTCTTGTTAGGGCTGCAAATTAAAATAGTTGTTATTAAATAGCACTAGCTTAGAAAGTAGATAGTGTTGATGGGTAGAAATCACATAAATACTGTATATCAAGGCTCAATTTTGCGATAATTTGGCCGGATCATAAGGGGTAAAGTGTAAAAATCGTCTACATTCAGGTGCAAAGAAGACAATATCATACCATATAGTGGAGTGGGTTGTTATATAAGGTGGGGATTCAGGGTTTCGCCCGACCTTATTTTTTTGAGAGTATTTTAATAATTTCTGTACTTGTTATGTTGTCCTAGTGCAAAAATATTTATTAATTCTGAACTCATATCTTGTACCGAGCCCCATTTTTTAGTGAACTAAGTAAAAATATATGTATATTCTTGTTGTTATGTGTAAGGACGGCAAAAGTTGACATCACTCGAACACGACATGAGTTAAACGAGTTTAGATTGATCTTAAATGGGTTCAAGTTATAAATAAGTCGACACAATTAACCCGTTTAGTTAATCATGTCGTGTTTGGATTGAGGAGTTCAACCCGTGTAACCTGTTTATACACATTTAATTATATATGTCGTAAATAAATTTCTATTTAAGTTATAAAATTACTATATATACTTGTGTTTTATAATTTAATCTTTTGTAAACTAGAAACGAGTTGACATAATTAATCTGTTTAGTTAATCATGTCGTGTTTGAGTTGAGGGGTTCAATCCGTGTAACTCATTTATACACATTTAACAATATATGTCGTAAATAAATTTTTATTTAAGTTATAAAAGTACTATATATACTTATGTCTTATAATTTAATCTTTTGTAAACTAGAAACTATTTAGTAATTTGGTTGATTAAAACTTTTTTTTTTTTTTTTGATTATTTATTATTTTATTGGGTATTATTAATAATTTAAATAATATATATACGGAGTATAATTTTTTTTTTTGTAAATAGGTCATTAAACGGGTTACATGTGTAACCTGTTTAATAAACAGGTCGGGTTAGTGTTGAGAGTTATTGACATGTTTATTAAACGGGTTGTGTTCGGGTTTAGTTATTTAGTATAATACCCTTAAATTGACACTACACGATTACGACCCGCGAACACGAATTGTCACCCCTAGCTGTGTGTGATCTTTTTTCTTTGTTTTTTGTTTCCAATTGTATTTTTTTTTTCTTTCAAAAAGACATGCATTAAATCAATTACTTTTTTATATTTAAATATATACCCCTCTATAAATTGTTTGCATTCAAGAGAACTCGAACTTTAAATTGAATGTTTCCTAAACATCAGGATCAAGTAATTTACTCACTAAAGTCAACTCCTTGCGGTTTACTTATTTTATAATATATATATATATATATATATAAAGCATGTATTTCACTTTGATTTTTCAAATGGAACTAGTTTTTTGGGATAATGAAAAAAAAAAATAATGTGAAATTATATGTAAGTGATGATAGAGGGGCTGATTACTGACCCACTTGAAGTAGAAATTTGTAATTTGGGATTGTTGGGAAGGTAAAGTTATCAAATGGGGTTCTATCTAGAATGCATTAAACTGGATTGTTTGTCAAAGTTGGTTGGCCAAATGAGGATGAAAACATTAAAAAAAATAAGAAGTGAAGAAGAAAACAATTTCCACTCTTCTTTTATAGTCTATATCTGACTACCACCCAATTAGTAATTGACGTGAATTGATCTACCTATTAATCCAATCATATAATGGGAGTTAATTATCATTTTAATGAAAGGTGTCCCATTGACTTTAATAATACATATACTAGCAAATGGGGTTGTGACATATATCATGACAAATTTTAAATTGAGTTTGACAATTAACAGGACTTCCACATGATAACTGTTTCTTAAACCCCCATGATAATTGTTAGTACTAGTAGTTGATAGGTAGGTATGGTTGTCTGTGTAGAAAGGAAAAGAAGAATGGATGTCTTTCAAATCAAAGTCTTGCATGGTTCAGATTGTCCCAAGATAGTAAACAAATAAGCCACAATTTACACAATTTGAAATATTTAGCAATACAATTAAGTAGCCATTTTTGGCGGGGCTCAGGTTATTGTGCGAGCAACCTGAGCCCACCCGAATCATAAAAACCCCAATGAACTAGACTTATGAACCTGATATACATGTCATATATCACATCTATGTGTTGATGGCATGTAATTAGTTATTTAGTGGGTTCACTTGCTTGTAAGTTGTAACATATATACAATTATATTGTATCATATCTTTTGAAAATATCAGTCAAGTTACTAGTTGTTAGAGGGGTTTTGTCTCATGTCGGATTCAGATGAAAAAGAGATTAGATACATGTGGTTGGATTCGGATGAAAAGAGATTAGGTACATATGGATGGAGTTATGCGACACTATTCAGTATCCAACAACTTACAATTTTGAATAAGAAGATAAGCGTATGAGCAATAGACAATTACAATTATTATCAGAGTCATACTTAGTCTTTAATCCGGTGTCACACCAAGCAAATGTATCGATGAAGGTCCTCATTCAAATGTGAAACAATGTTAGAGGAGTCTTATTCCACGTCAAATTTGAAGGAAACAACACCACCTATCATTTCAAAGCCAAAGGTGATTATTTTTATTAGTAATGTTGGAGAGGGCTTCCTAATAACCATAAATTCTTTTAGTATTAAGGACTTTACAAAAATTATGTCAAAGGATGGCCTTTAATACAAATAATTAATTGATTTACTTGAAACAGATCCATAATTTCATTTTGTATTATGTGAAGTATTGGTTTATCACAATATTCACATGTTCAATTTAATTATTCCGACCCTATACATATGGCTTTCCAATAGAACACGACAACCTCTTCTCCAAAAAAAATAAATAATAATAATACAGTAATAAAATCCATATGTTTTTGTTATTGTGCCTTGAAACAGTAAATACAAAAATAATGCATAAAGCTTACAATAATATCCAATTATTATTATTATTTTTTGGGAAGGTCAGACTAGCAATTAATTGCCTTAGTAGACTCTCGAAAAGGCATTAAAGACTTGAAAGTCAATTGGCTGTGATGTCATGCATGAGATCAGCATCGCACGAAATAAGTACTCGTATTTCTCTATATTCCAAGCGTGCACATTTGGTTCGTACACGTCATCTTTATCGCGCTCCTCGTCAACTTAATTAATTCTCAAGATTCATGTCCTTATGGGTTCATTATATAATTAGAAACATGCATGCATTACAAGTGAATTGTTTTCAGGTATTTGTTCTATTCCCACTTCTCAATTCATTTGTCAACTGTATATGATCCACTCTGTTTTGTTTTTATTATACATACATACATACATATATATATATATATGCACATGCATATATATCACTCGACACCTAATTAATTCCCAGCAGTTGATCAATCACTTACAACATGTTGAATTGGCACTACCATTCAATTCCAGCCGAAATTTGAACAGTATTCTCTTTCTCTCTCTATATGTGTGTGTGTGTGTGTGTGTGTGTGTGTGTATAATATACAAGTGGGAGTTGACGAGGAAGAAACAAACCTAAGCTTGGTACTCTTGTTCCACGCACGTCGGCTGGTACATATTTTAATTAGTTAATACTTAATAATTTGTAGAGAAGTATATATAATTATGTGTAACGTGCATTGACTTCAAACTTTTTGGGGCTGCTACATCCATAATCGTGATTAAAACAATTAATTGTGACTACACTTTAGTATATCTATATATATATTAGTAGTTGAGTTCTATTATAGGATTTGCTTTTATTTTATAGTAGGCTCAGGATTTACTTTAATTAATCAGTGTTATGAACATCATTTTTGCAGCCTTATTAGCAATGGATCACGTTAACAATGATGACGTAGTACATTTCGTATGTTACAATTCAATTTTAACATTTTATCACAATCTATGTAAAGAACAGAACATTTTGATTTAGTCAACTTGGTTAGTCAACACATCACTTATCTAACAACGCATTTCATTAGATATTTTGAAAGTATAAGATAAAGGAAAAATAAAAAATGCTTTGTAGGAAGAATTTGTTGGACTCGGACACAAAGGGTGCTGGTACACTAAATAAAAATTAAAATTAAAAATTAAAAATTAAAGAGCATTGTTATTCTTGGTGAGTCGGTAGGCTCAATAAGATACCGCTCCTTTGGTGAACCCTTCAAAGAAATTATATCTTGTCAAGTTTCTGTCCACCATGCATAAATATTATTTTTTATAAACAAATATTAATGCACATAAAAAGGTGAAGAAGAAGAAGAAAACTCTTAACAATATTTAATTGATAAGTGTTAAATGTTGTTTTATTCTCATAAGTAAAGAAGAAAAAAAACTATTAAAACAAAAGTAAAAGAGTAAGTTTACTTTAAGATTGATGGGGCCGGCTCGATGTAACTTAGAGCCTTAGGCGAAAAAAAAAAATGGTCTTTTTATATCATAATATATGATATATTAATTATTAAATAATCATTATTTAAAAATCATTATTGCTTTAAAAAATATAGATAAAAATAGTTACAAGACTCATAACTCGCAAACAAATATACAAATATATGTAAAATATAAATATATACAAATTTATAATAACAAAAATTAGAAAAACTAAAAAATAATTAAATAAAAAGAACCTGATTTAGAAATTT